ACATGTGTTATTTGATTTTCTTTCAGAAGATTCTTTCCTGTACAAGTAAATCACATGCTGTAACCCTCACGGTACATATGTGTAACACATGTCATAATTTAAAAAGAAAGGAATGGCTTTTGATGATGGAAGATTTTAAAACTTTTCCCTGAAAAACATCACATATGGATAGAAATCCACCTCATCCTCAACTCACACTGGCGTCTTTCAGGAGGTCCCCTCGGACTCTAGGAGGAGAAGTAATCATCCTGTATGCTGTGAATGCCAGGCCGAAACATGGAAAAATAAAATTATTTGTTACTTCTTTAGGTGAAGACCGGTCAGCTTCAGAATTCTCTTCTCCTTTAGGTTGACTGTTGAATTAGGTTTGATTCATAATTCTTGGAGTCTTAAGGTCCTGGATTAGAGACACACCGAAGTTTTCATGTAGCGTCCCTTAACAAGCCCTTGCTTCCTTCAAGTAAATCAAGACATCTCCCCACTTCATTTAACTTAAATTAAATCTTAATTTTCACTTAGTAGAAGTAAAAGTCTTTGTGTTTTCTCTTGAGGGAAGTGGTTCATGATGGGTATTGTTCTGAAATAAATGAAATCCAGGGAAAATCTACAACAGCTTTTAAGTACAAGGGAAAACTGAAGAATTTTTAGGATGACACAAAGCATTTGGATTTAGTGAGGAATTTATTAAGAAGGTGGCAGAAGTCCTTGGAGAAATTAGGTGGAGTAAGTTAGCAGGAGGGTCCAGGCCTGCAATTTCTGCAGGGAGCAGGCCGACCCAGGAGGGTGGCTCTGTGCAAGCAAAGAGGAGATGCTGTTGCTGGCCTGCTCCGCCCACACGCCCTAGGCTCCAGCTGTGATCCCCAGGCAGCTTATGCTCTAAGCTCCCCAGACTGGGCCACAGCTACTTAATTTTTAACTCCTTGCTCTGGAAGTATATGTAATATATAGGATTTCCTCTACAAGGTCAACCCCACCAAAAATGTTAATGTCCTCGCATAGGTTTTGAATCTGTGCAAACTCCTTGACATTTACTGGGTTGGTGAAACTTTTGTCAGACTAGTGACATGTAAAACAAAAGTTGGATTAAGTATGTTTAACCTAAGATAAAGGACGAATAGATAAATGGATAGAACGAACAAGAGGAATCCAAACTGCCAGGTTAGAGCAGCAGATATCTAATAATTCTGACATCATCAAAATAATTTATAGAAATAACTGAGCTTCTCAGACTATAGAGGTTATTTCTATCAGGACTATTGTAACTTTTATATTTTTTCATGATTTTTTTCTTTAGAATTTCAAGCTTGATTACTGATCCCAGATTTGCATCATTTTTTTAAAGTCCAAGTTAATGAAATACTTTTATGTATTAAGCAAATGTTTATGATAAGAATATTATATGTTACAGGAGGTAGAATCTGTGTGATATGGATGAAAGTGTGTCTTTCCACAGTCGCCTCACTTTGTATTCATGTGACCCCTTAAAGTTTCTTAACCTCAGACTCAGTTTCCTCAGATAGGAAAAATAATGAAGGTTTTTGCATACATTTCATTTTTATTTGGGGATAAAATGGTAATTAATTTGATTGTGCATTCAGATATAAATAGTATATATGCCCAAATGTTAATTGTAACTACCTTCATAGGCTGTTATACCATGGAATTTCATGGTCTTAATGCCTCAGATATCAATTTTTATAATTCTTATCAAACTCAATACTATATTAAATATATTATAAACACAAACAGAATATCATCCTTTCTTTTTGAAAGATTGGTTATAGATGTTAAATTGATCTTAAATTCAGTCATTCAAAGGGGTTACGTACTAGATGAACTTTGTATCTCACTCAAGAATACACAAAGAAATGTAGGACACAGGATCTATCAATTTGAGAGATAGGCCCTTTGAGAATCTCATGAATGCTAAGGTTCCAATCCCTAGAAAAGTACTTATTATGCACAAAATTTTGCAAGGAATTTCAAGCATTCACCTTCACAGATCCTGATTGAATACTACTGTCTCCATCTTAGATTAACATGTATAAGGATTTTGATATGCTTTTTTCCTTTGCAGATTTTTGGGTTTTCCAGAATCCTATGACTATTGTAGAATATAATGTCGAATTTCTTTTCCTGTCTTCTTGTACTTCCACTTCTTCTTTGCTTTAGCTATATTTCATCTAAAAGAGACTGCTTTTTTTTTTGTCTTTTTCGTTTTTTAAACCATCCCCATTCAGTCTACATCCACCATTGTCACTCTCCAGCATCTTTCATCAAGTTCTTAATCACACTGGATAGCAGTTAGAGAGGGAGGAAAGATCATGAACCAGGTGAAAAAAATGCAAGAATTAGTGGATTTAAGCAGAAACGGCACTGGAGTCAGTTCCAACACTAATAAATTAGGTTGTAGTAATGCTAAACAGAGGTTGATAATCTGAAAAATCAGACTAAGGTCTTTACCAAGTCACCATTTCACTAACCTTTAACAAATATTTTAAATTCTTTGGTACTCAGTTCATTTGAAAATAACCCTTCATTAAGGTGTTCAGAGATCTGGCCTGAATTTCACCTCTAATAGTAATATATGGAACTGATTTTTAACTGCAAAGTTGTGTAACAATGTATTAGGTTTTCATATTGCTGTATAGTGAGACTCAACATGATGGGAAGAAAAGTTGCCCAACATTCACTGAATGAAGTGTCATCCAGGTAGACTAACTAGAGTTAGGGGTGGGGGACCTTGTCATCATTGTTGTTGTTTGCTGTATGAGTGTAACAACTCTACATTTTTTCCAATTTGTAGAATTTTAATCCCCATATTTTCTTCTCTTGTTCTCCTCAACCTTTTTATCATTTCATTTCATTTTACCAGTGGCTCTCAAGGTTTACTTCTTCATCTTTGGTCTTAAATATATCTGCTTATGTTAACAACCACAATAAAACTTAGATTAAATATTTTAAACTGTGGACATTTCCTCCCTGGTTTACACTGAAAGAGTAAATAAGATCCAGAAGTACAATAGATGTAGTGAAAGGGAAAGAAACTGCTCAAAAGGAAAAACAACTGAATTAGGAGAGAGAAGAAAAGAAGGGAAAAAAAAAAAAAATATATATATATATATATATATATATATATATATAGACTTGCACAAGATAGCAAAGATAATCATACAACTAATTCTGTTAGTTCATGGAAAAAAAAATGGTGCTCACATTGTTTGATCAGTTTTGCATGCCCACATCTGGTAATTTGAGCAACTATTCTGAAGATAACAATATGCAATATAACAACCATTGTTAAATTCCTGTCATCTTGATTTGAAATCCTGTATCACTATTGTTTTTTGTTTTGTTTTGTTTTGCTTTTGCTTTTGTTGTTGGTGGTGGTGGTGGTTTGCTTTTTGATTTTTCTGAGGTTTTTTTTTTTCTCCTTAAAATAAATAAATAAAATGCAGACATTCTTGGAACATCAGAAAAGCAAGTTCTTATTTTGTAACTTCAGCAGAAATTGTTATAGATCTCTAAAAGTATTCGTATTTCAAAAATACAAGTAAAGATTTGTCATTTCTTCCTTAGATGAATTCACTATTTTAAAGTTATACTATTATCTAATATTGATTTAAATTTTTTATTCTAGTGTCAATAGTGATTGTGAGAAAATAATTTTTGAAATAAAATCCCCAAGGTTACACATTATTTAATAATTACTATGAAGTATTGAATGAGAATGTTATTTTATGCTTATCAAAAATAATACTGGTTTGGAAAAGTAAATGTTGTAACATTATGTTGATAATATTGATTTTAATATTTTGATATTATATAAACATGGGGCACAAAGATTTCATGTGCAGTAATGCAAATTAGATTCAGTAGCCATGAATTAGATTTCCATTAGGTAGTGTTCATTGAGAAGAGATGTACCTATGCAGGGTTTAAAGAAAATTCAAAAAAAGAAACATTATAATTGAAAATGCCAATGACCTTACGTGGCACCTGAAGCATCACTTGCAGTGCTCTTCATGTGAACTGTCATCACCATTCACAATTCTCCCCCTTTTTAAAAATACACTATTATATTGTTGATGGACAATTCATTACACACTAGTAGCAAATTATAGAGAAACTTCTCTTTTTCTTCAGTACAAGAATTTAAAGTGAGAAAGATTCAATGCAAAACAAGGTGCTATAATTTTTATTAAGCTTTCTTATATTTATTGTGCCATATTAGTCACAAGTAGTAGTAGATTAAAGCCTTTTTTGATTCTTCTAATATAGAAATTTTAGTTTTCATTCTTTTATCTGGCAGACCACTGATGAGTTCAAGCCAAGTGAGTTTTTTGTTTTTAAAGACCATTTAATTTTATAGACATAACATTCTATAGAAAGAATTTCAAATGCAATAGTTTGCTACCATAAAGAAGTATATCAGAACGCAAAGTAATATTGATAGACTTTGAAAGTAAAGAATCTTTATGGACATTTAAAACTCTGAGGAATTACAAGACCATGGTAAAGAGCAGGCTAGTTAAATTGAAGAAGTCAAAGAAAGGGATCTTTCTTCACAGATATGTCATCTCCTGACAATTAGTAGAAGATAGTCCTATGTAGCTGCAGTGAACCCCAGGTGCTACTTCCCTGAAGCACTGAAATGGGAAATGGTGGAAGAAACTTGTAAAAGAATACCTTGGGGATTCCCCTGTGATCCCTTAATCCTTGAATTGTCAAACCACATGGAAAATAATAGAGCTGCCTGGCTCTAAGACTTAAGTGGCATTATCTTTTAAAAGAAAATATTATGTCTTTTCATATCTTTTCAATAGAGGATGTATGCAAGTACAGAAAAGAGTAACTCTGAGCCAGAGATGCATATGGCCTTTTCATTTTTAATATAATATTATTATTATCATGACTAAGCAGGCTGCATCCAGCGGGGGGAAGAAACCATAGCCAATACTATATATATATATATATTTTTTTTTTTTTTAATTTAACAGATGATTCAACGGGAAGCAGATGTAAAAAGTAAAGTAACCGCTGTGGCATTGACAGACTCTGTTCACAACGTGTGGCATCAAGAAGCCGGCAAAACGATTCGGGAATGGATGAGAGAGGTGAGACTTGGTTTGTTCAGTGCTGAGCTGAATGTCTTTGAGCTTTTATATCTTGAGGACGACTAACTTTTATCACCTTCCTCCCCCATGCTCGTTTTCTAGAGGCAGAACATCAAGAATGAATAGGGAAAAAACTACAGAAGGTGAAAAGAATAATAGAAAACCTTCAGGAGAACAAATACTTTCTGAGAGCACTCTTCTTTCTGGCTTTCTATAGAATATTATCATACAATATATGTTTTGTGCAGTACATAGAATATGTTAGAAATTTGTCTAAAGATGGATATGGTGTTAGATGACTGTTACTGCTCAATATTTTATGTTTTCACCAGCTAGTTATCATTGATGCTGCTTAATTATAAGAAGGATCAGAGAATTAACCTTCAAGAACAGTTTTGGATGGAAGAATTAGGCCACATGGTGATGTTTCCAACAATCTATGTCACTGTTGTTATTCTGCATTAAAAAAAAAACATACTTTTTCACATAGATACCTAAAATGGTTTTACCCAAAATACATGAAGAACTCAAAACAATTCAATCACAAGAAAACAAGTAATCAAATTAAGAGTTGATATGTATTTTGCATATTCTTTATCTGATACGTGGGAAACAAGCAGGTGGCATAGATACACACTGAAATACTGTTCAACCTTACAAAAGAAAGAAGTCCGTCATTTATGATACATGAATTAATTGGGAGGATGTTATATGAAATGAAATAAATGGGAATAAAAAAATTAAAAAGTTTTAACAATAAAATGGTTTTATTCCTGTCCTTATAATGCTGTATATGTATTGGCATGCATTTTAAATCTCTTCTAACGCATATGTTCTCTCACAGTGTGGCTTCATCTCTGATTGCCTTTTCCAAAGAGCTAATTGTTTGCAAGATAGAATTCATGCACTCCTTGCCCATACCTTTTTATGCTACTTATTTGCCCAAACGAATGCATAGATACTTCCTAGCATTGTCTAAAAGGCAAAATTAGTACATGAGGCTTTAGTGACTTTTTTTTTCCTACACATAATCAATATGGAATTTGGTATTTGGCTCAAACAAGAAGCATCCATGTTCATTCTCACTGAATGGAAAATTCTTCATGAAAGTCTCATTTGATGTGACAAGAATAACAAAATGTATTTAGATTTACTTTCTGACTACAAGGACTGGTCAAAAAATATAATGCATGTTTAAATTTATAAGTTTTACTACAGTGAAAGATACATTTCCATTCTTCCTCCTCAAAATACTTCCCCTCACCTTAAACATACTTGTCACCTGATCTGGCACCATGTGACTTCAGGCTCTTTCCTGAAGACCTGGCCATGAAAAACATTTTGCATCAATTCAAGATATTAGCAGCCAGTATACACTGGGTCCTCAAGAGCTGACTTATCTAGCAATAGGACAGTGCAACTGGAGAACTGCAAGAGCTGCTTCTGGAAGCAGCAAGAGCCATGGGATCAGTGAGCTTAAAGAGATGGGACTATCTGGAGAGGATTAATGGCAAGGTGTCTTTTACTATAATACATTTTTAAAAAATGTTTAAATACCTTATTTTTTATCATACTGTATATATGTAAGGCTAGATTAAGTGCTCTTTTCAAAAAGCTCCGGTGAATTAGTCTGCAGTTTTTCTCTGACTTAGTAAAACAAGGAATAGTTGAATTCATTTTAGTTTAAGAAGACTGCCATTAGTTCTTTGCAAGCATTGCTCTTATAAAATGTATAAGCTTTTATAAGTGCCCTACTTCTTGGATAGTTCTTCAGTTCTTCCCATTATGCCTTAGGGAAGAAGTATGAAGAATTTGTGTTCTCACCTATCAAAATGGAAATTCAGCTCAGTCCTTTCCCTCACTGTAAAGTCTTAAGCAAGTTATTCAGTCTCTTTGAGATTTAGTTTTCTCTAAAAAATGTAGTACCTACCTGCCCAACACAAGTAGAAAATATCTTGTATAAGGAAGCAGCACTATTGTTGGCACTTTATTTTTTTATTTTTTATTTTTTTATTATTTGGTACTGGGGATCAAACTCATAATCTCATGATTACCAGGCAAGCACTTGAGCCACTGAACTAAATAAATCCCCAGCCCTCTGCTGTTAGCACTTTAAAACAGTGCAGCCAATTACAGATCTTACTGTTGTTACCTGTATGCCCAAATAATATAAAACACATGAACTATATTCTTTTGTTTTCTTGATTTGCATATTCAGATTATCTCACAAAAGGGAAACAGAGTAACGTGTTGGAAGATTTCATAACAAGCAATTAGGCAAATTGAATTTTGATTCAGTTTAATCACTCACTCGATAAATCAGTATGAGAGGACCTAATGTGAACTGGCTTCTAAGACTCGTAATTCTAGATCAACCAGTCCATCTTTTGGGCCAAGTTTCATAATTGTGAATGAGAGATAATAATTCCTATCTGTCTACTTTTGAACTGTTATGAGAAACAAAGGTGATGATCAAAAAGAAAACCCCCTGAAAAGTAAATGGTAGTGCCTAACGAAATGAGATATATTATTATAGAAAACACTATACAATCTTAGAGAGAAAAATTATTAGATCATCCTTGGTAGAGCTTTGAAATTATCCCTGCTGAGACCTCTTCTCCAATACAAGAACAAAAGTGAGGGAATAAACGTCTGTGACGTACTCCTAGTCTGACTCACCTCAGTAGGTGACCCCGAGCAGAGGAGATTTCCGTACTTTAGCGGGACAAAGATGCAGTGTTTGCCTACACTGTAGGTGAAACTCTAGTCTCTTTTCTTTCTTTTTTCTTGGTCCCTTTCCACTCTGTAAGACTCTTCAGACTTTTGAAGAATTAGCAAACCTGGACCCCAGTCAGTGGAATGGGCTGATGCCTTGGGAGTGGAGGTGTTGAGAGTAGAGTACTGCTTGGGAGCCCCTGACCCCTGCCTCAACTCTGGCCTCATTTGGAATCAGAGGCGAACTGATTTTGTGCAGCTACCCACCCCCTAGATAAGTACTATTGTGAGCCTGGAATATTGTCTATACAAATACTATACAGAAGCTGTTAATATATGGAGGCATTGGGGCCTTGGTGCTTTTATCTTCCTGATGATTGGCTTTATTATTTCACCAAACACTGCTGTAAATTTTGGGAGTGCTACAGTGGCAAGAATTGTTTAATTATTTAATACTATGCTAAAAAGAAATAAAATGGTTTTTGGCCAGGTATGGCAGCACATATGTGTAATCCTCGCACTTAAGACGCTGAGGCAAGAGGATCACTGCGAGTTTGAGGCCAGCCTGGGCTACAGAGTGAGCTCAAGGACAGCCTGAACTACACAGCAAGACCTGGTTTTAAAAAAAAAAATAAGTTTTGTTTTGCATGCATGTTCAATGTGATAGTTATTTCATGTTACTCCTTTACTATAAAAAGAAACTTTGTTTTAAACTTATCAATTTAGCAGACATTACAAAGGTTAAGAAATATATCCTTATGTCATTTCTACATAGCAGTTCCTTTTAAAAGAAGATCAAAGAAGGTCTGCTTTGATAATTACTCTGAGTGAAACTCCCAGCAACAGTATAGAAGCTACCCTAGGCTCTTGAAGAGTGGTAAAAAGTGACCAAAGACAGCTCCTAAGTGAAATGTCTCACATCGCTCCAAAGATCTCAGGGCTCATGGGTAAACGTGGTTTGCTGCCCTCCCCGTAGCTTCTGAACACCTCCAGCCATACCGGACCTGCAGTCTGCATAGCAGTCTTGAAGCCTTGCTGGGCCCCTGAGCTCTTGAGTGTAGGCCCAGCCTGGGGAGTCACAGGTCAGCTTCTCTGAGGACACAGAATCTTTCATATTAAACTATAACCTGTAGGCAGTGGCTGTTTGCAACTCAGAAAACTCCAAGAGAAAATGAATAAAAACCGAGACTTCTTCATGACTAAAGATGATGAGCATGTTTTTCATGTGCTTACTGGCCATTTGCACTTCTTTTGAGAAGTAACTATTAATACAAAAAACTAAATGCTCATGAAGTCAGGGACAAGGAAACATCTGTACTGTTGGTGGGAATATAAACTGGTACAACCACTATGAAAATCAGTATGGAGAGTTCTCAAAAACCTAAAACCAGAAATTTCATTCTATCAGTTATAGCTTTCCTGGTTATATTACTGAATGCGTGAAAGACATAATACTGTAGTGACACATACATACCCATGTGTTTAGCAGCATAATCGATAACAGCAAAGCTATGGAAACACCATAGGTACCCATCAACAGACTGATGGCTAAAAAAATGTGGTCTATGTGGTGTACACCATAAAATATTATCCAGATATAAAGACTAAAATCCTGCCATTTGCAAGAAAAATGGATGAATCTTAAGACTCTAATATTAAGTGAAAGTAGACACAGAAAATTTAATAATGTGTAGTTTCTATCATATGAGAGACCCAAAATATAAATAAAAATCAGTCAAAGAGAGATGCTAGGAAACAGAAAGGCAGACTGTTTAAAGACGAGGAAGAGGATCAGGGTTAGGGAGGAAGAAAAGGGATCAAAAATAATAAAGATATGATATATACACATACCAGTTACACAAAGCAAATATAACTACTGTGTATTGTGAACCATTTTAAAAAGTCTAGATTCAGCCAGCACAGCAAACATCTCCAAATACCGTACACAGGAAGAGCTGCTGTTTACTTTTCTCTTTAAATATAATACACTAAATTCTAACAACTTTATTTCCTGTCTACTTTAAACTGTTATCATCCCCAGATTCAAGTCAAAGGTCCATGGCCCAGAGGCATTTCCAAAACTTTCAGATTTCACAGAGGGAAGATTTAGAACCACAAACACCCAAAGGGTCATAATTTTACAGCAAGAAGCGTTTAAATTGAAATCGCTTAACTCTAAGAAACACACACTGCATTTCCTGCTTTCCTCTTTCTTTTTTACTCCCAGGGAAACCATAGTTACATGAGCCATCCCACCTGCTGGCTCAGGGCAGGGTCTCCTTCTTCGTGCTTGTTTGTGTGATGGGGCGCCCCATAGCACTGTTGGTACCCGGAGTCCTTGCTGCCTACTGACTGACTGTAAGATCTCAGCAGCTGCCAGCACACACCAGCATATCTTGAAGTTAGCAAGAACTTTCTTAGTGGGCTTCCCATGTTGCCACCAGAGACTCGTCAATAGGCTTCATCTCAGCTAAAGAACTAGGTGGGGAGAGGCAAATGTGAGTGTTAACAAGAGAGATAGATAAACAGTAGCAAAACAAATAAGAAGTTTGGTTTTTACACTACAGAAACACATCTCAGAACTGGGAATCACATGTGTTAAAATGGAATTTCAAATGAATTAAATTCATAGGTCATGGCTAAATGTCTTTTTACATATATTTGTAAATGTTTATATTTTTATTTTGTTACATGCTATCATAAGGCAAATATTTTTATCTGGTTTTGCCCTGTTTTCATCTGCTTTTCTCACTGGGGTAAAAATATCAATTGTGTACACATACACATATACTTGTCACACTAATAGCTTCAAACCTTCACAATCCTACACAGATTACACAGTCATTCCACAGAACTTTTGGGTATATTCACTTTAACTATAGGATGCTTAGCTCCTATCTGATTTTTATGAGCTTAATATGTGCCTAGATAAAAACTGAAATTTTGCTTTCAGTGTTTGAATTAAAGTAAACCTATAAAAAATAGACAAAAGTTCATTATTCTAGCTTTTAAAAACTCAGCAAGTTAGGAAAATAGTTAATATCCCCATATTATAACATGCCATCACTTTTATTAATACTAGAAAATCCTAGGAGCTGGGGATTTAGCTCAGCGGCATAAGCGCCTGCCTTGCAAGCAGGCAGTCATGAGTTCGATCCCTGGTACCGATAAAAAATGAAAAAGACCCCCCCAAAAAAATACTAGAAAATCCTGAAGGATACAGTTTTACATTTGGAAGTGTAGGTAACAGTATTGAGACTGACATTTCATCTGGGTCATAGCCAATTTTCATCAGATTTAGTGGTACTAGGGAGGATGAATAATAATTAAAATATATGCCTAATCGCTGCCTGTCTGTTGGTAGTGCTAATTGCTGTCATTGAAAAGACTGAATTGTTTAAGAAAGAGGGAGAGAAAGAAAAAGTCATTCTTCATTGAAGCTATCTTCCTGTATCATTGCGGGCCTATTTTTAGTACCTATAGAAGTCATGATTTTGAATTTATTAGAGGCTGTGATGAATGATAAAACATCATCCATTTACATATCTTGACACTGCTTTGGAGAACACTTATTTCTTACAAGCAAGTGTCACATTGTATATAAAAGCTGGCTAATTGTGTACTAATCTTCTGCATTATCTAGAATTCTCTGATGTAGTGTTCTATCAGTGGTAATATTAATTTTACTTATTTCAAATGTATGAAATATCTTCTAAAGCCCTATTTCTTTTATAATTTCTACTTTCTTACATTGTGTAATTTTGCATTCATCTGCTAATTAAGATTAGGAGTGCACGTTATAGAATATCCATTTAAAACTGTCAAGCTTTTGTAATACATGAGAAATAATATTTTATCCATTTTAATGTAAAAAGAGAGAAAGCATTTAAAAATATGACTAAATGTTGTGTTTGTTTTCATGTTTTTTTTTTCTATACAGTTCAATAGTTTCATTGATCCAGTGTTTCTTACAAAAATCTGCCATGCTTTGTGAACTTCACTTTCTAATCTCATACAGCAACCCTTCCTTTATATTATTCCTGCTCTCTCTGGTCCCAGAACAGTAGGGTTGCCTTGACAAATCTATTCAATAGCCATTCCTCGGCCTTTATTGGTGGGGACTGGGGCCTTTGAAATTCTCTTCTCACTGCAACACAGCTGACATCTTCTTCCAGACAGAATGAATTAAGGAAATACAATAAGACACTTGATCTACCAGTCAAGGATCTTTCCACAGTGAGGACAGATTCCATGGTGCACAACCAGGGCAGCAAGCATCTAAAAATACACAATACATCCTTGTTTATTAGAATATCAATCACTAATTTTTCCAACGTGATTGATGGGGTGGTTTATTTTAAAATAAAATCTGTCTGGAAATTCATTGTGTATATGTGCATGTATGTGCATGTGCTTATAGTTTTTAAAAATTATAGGAGATTAATCATATCTTCTAGAGTTCAAATTCAGACTTTAAATGTATAAAAGAAAGATAGTATAGTTTTCTTTCATTTTTCTATATTAAACAGTGACCTTTAATGTTGAAAGCTTTGTGTCCTTGGACACAAAACAACAATTCATGAGGCTCTGTTTCTAATTTATATAACTATTTTGGTACAACTTTCCTTGAAACACATCAAATTAAAAATTTTAAAAATAACGTATAAAATAAGATTATACTTATATGGGGCAGATTTTTGAGGAATAAATGCCAAGAACATACAAAGAATATAGTTTACACATTAATTATTCTATTACTTGTTCAAATCAATGTTTATTTCACTCTCAGAGTTTAGAATGGTAAAGTTTTAAATTTCCCATGATTATAATATGTTTGTTTATTTCTTAACCATCTAATCTTTTCTTAGAAATATTGCAACATGGCTCACAGGTTACTTGTCTTCTTAATATGAGTGCAGATAAATTGCTGAATTGTAAAAGATAAAATTTTTTCCACAGACATGTTAGTCATGAGCAATTACTATTTACCTAAGAAAAAATTAAGTATAAGAAAATAAAACCACTTTCAGTGATTGATTTTATAGGGTACATTTAGCTTTTCACCTAAATATTTGGTCTCAGTTTAAATTGTGTTTCAACAATATTGTCTCTGTTGCATTGCAGAACTGTTGTAATTGGGTCTCTAGCTCAGAACCATTAGACACATCAGTGGAATCCATGCTGCCTGACTGTCCCAGAGTCTCAGCAGGTATGTGTTTGATGAAAGATGTGTATTTTAAAGTAAAAAATATGTCAATTAAATGTAGAATTCAAGGACTTGGGTGTACTTCAGTGATAGAGTGATTATTTATCACACATAAGACTCTAGGTTCCATACACAGCACACACACACACACACACACCAAAAAAGTCAGGCATAATGAAATGTAGAATCCTATTTTGTAAATTAAGTATTTGTTCTACCTTGAATTATTGAATGAATTATTGGTAATGCGGGACATGTGTCTAATCCACCAAAATTTGTTAAGTATCTTAAAATGCTTACCAACAAATTCAGATAAATAAAGAGACAAAATAATTAAAGAGTAACGTAGAAGGTTGCTGTTGAAGCTTTGAGAGATAAGACATGCCAATGCCAAAGACCAGGCCTCGGTAGCCATAACGGTCTTCCACTAGACATTTGTCTCTGCTTGAATACCAACCCCATGATACATCAGGGAGTCAAAGCTATTGTGTGGCATACAGTCTTTAGGAAAGAAGTTACTCATGCTAAGATTTTAGTTGGACCATGTGCATTAGATACGATTGTAGGAAGGCATGCAAGGTGGCAGCCTACACAAAAGAACAGTGCAAAGAATGAGGGCTGGAATGGTTTTGAAAATGTTCACAGAGAATAAAAGCAGGACTAGCCTGCCTACTGAATAGAAGGAAATGCAGAGCTGGGCCCCTCAGGAAGCAGCTGGCTTCTGGAGACTGTAAGGATGGCATCAATTTCCATCCCACAGGCCTCACACTTAAGTCTCTAGGTGAGAAGAGGGAATGGCAATGTCAGTGGTGTTGCTTTCTTATTTGGCTTTCACAGTTTCCTGACTGCTAAACACAAGCCCATATAACAAGCAGAGGTAATAGCTAATCATGGAGTACTTAGAGTTGCAGACATTATTTTTAAATATTCAAACAAAAAAACATTAAGGACAGCTCAATTCTAAGTAATGGCCTGTTATTATTACTAACCATTGCTCTCTTTAATACTTCAATGGAGCCTCAAGATCATTATAACTAAGTGTTATAGGTCTATCAGTCAGGAATCAATCAGAAACAGAAACACTAGTATATGTACAGTATATGCTACAACATATGCACACATGTTTATGTTTGTTTTATGTAACCTATTTTTGTTATTCATGATAGTTATATTCAATAAAGTTACTGAGAGCACTAAATTAGCAAGTACTTATTACTCCTAGGAAAGACACAGGGCAATAAAATTCCTGTAAGTTTCTGGTCACATCTTTGTCAATCAATATGACCTCATTTTATGTGTGTTTCTGATTAAAGATACCTTATGTAATATACATTATTGCTTCCTTAACATTGAATTCATAAGCAACAGTTTTGTAATTCATGCCTAAACTAAGCTTAGTCACAGCCTTGTTGTACTTATGCACACTAGACATTACCTCCTCACTATATTTGAGAACCATTTAAAACAGTGAAATAAGTTGGTCATGGTCAAGCCTGTAATCTTAACACCTGAGAGGCTGAGGCAAGAGGATCACTGAGTTTGAGGACATTGTGGACTACATCATGAGTTCAGGGCTATCCTAAACTATATTCCAAGAAACTGTCTCAATAGATAAAGAATAAATACAAAAAAATAATGAAATCAACAAAAGCACAAAAATACAAGAAGTATGGCCCTAAGGATTCTGTGAAAAAGATGTTTATGATATGAAATCCAAAGCCAGAAGACAAAGCATGGCCTTACTGAAACTTTGGTAGGAATAGGAACTGAAGTCTTTCTCTATTCTACATTTACTCTAAATGATTGAAAAGTTTCCATGAGGTCACAAATAAATTTTAGAGAGTAAATAAATTCACATATATAGACTCTACAAATAATGAAGGCAGACTTCATCATACCAATGTAGAGGAAAAGATTTGTTATTGATTCCTGGCCAGAGCTGGTCAAACAGTCCTGGTAAAGATGTTGACTTTGCATTTCATGCTGGAGCTTCGGGTCCCAGATCAGACAGTTAGTTTAGTAGGGAAATTCAGATGTAAAATGGCAGAGAGGAAGAAAGAACTGGATCCCAGGAGCAAAAACTGAAATCCATGAAAATGAAAATGGATGTAAGCCTATGTCAGTTCTTACTGCCTTTGTCATTGGTAATATCAGTATCTTATGGAATTCTGTGCCATTTGTTATGAGCTAAACACACACATACCTCCTCGAGGAGTGAGACCCTGTTGGAGAATCCAGGAAATGAGGAGCAGTTGAGTGGCCATTACCTCCAACCACAGAATGAACCAAGAGATAAATGACAGTGTGTGTATGTGTGTGTATACGTGCATACACACACGCACACACACACAAACACTAGAAATAATTACTACTTCACTTTAAGGAAATTTTCCACCAAAACACTATAACTTTCTCTTGTGTACATTCCAACCAAAAACATTCAGGAAAAAGAATTCCAGAAAACATACTTTAGCCTAGCCAGATTTACTGATTTAAAATCTATCATAGTCCACCCCTTGCCAGTTTGGCACTGATATTTATCTCAAAATATATTTAACTTCCAATTAAGATATTAATAAAGTCACACTTCCATCTAACATGATAGAGTTACCATGGACCACTGCAAACATACCAACCCTTTTCCCCAGAAGACGGTAAGAGCCCCTTTATTGTTCCTGTTTGATTGCATTCTCTTCATTTTGTATCCTGTAATTTAAATACTGAAAGACAGAGTTGCGGAGGACACATGACATTGGGTGATAAAGGAATAAGACGAGACAAAATGAAAGTAGTATAGAAATATATATTTACATTTAAAAAAAGAAATACAATGACATTGCTCACTTTTGCAACTGACTGTATGGTTTTAGCTGATGTTATGACTCCTTTCTTCCACTAATCAGTTAATATTCCCTTTGCTGTCAGCAGGCAGCTTAGCCTGGGGAAATGATCCAAACCTTCATTCATGAAGGATCTGGGCCATTAGAAGTCCTGCCTGAATTAGGTTGTTGTATTATCCCATTGACAGTAATTACAGGAAATACAAACAGACATCCTATATCATTCCCAGCACTGCAGGCATACTCTTCCTTATCCCCCCACCCCACCCCACATTGTGAGTAGCAACTCCATGTTCCTTTAGAAACTCAGTATCCATCACACAGACAGTATAGTAACACCCTGTATTTCCTGTTGAATTGGTGGCATATGGATCCCAAAATGGCAAGATGGTAGTCTCACTTTCCATTTCTATGAAGTCATTATTGTGTCACTGGATGGAAATATTTCTCCCTGTAGAACAAGAGCTTCAGATCTGCAGAGTCTGGTCAGTGGGAAGCAATAGTTTTGCTAGTGGGCCACTAAGGCTAATACGAAAAGAATCACTTCTGTACCTTTATTTCCAGCTCAGGGATAAGTAGCACTTTATAATAAATGCAGATTTAGAGCAAATTTCATATCCCACAAGACCTTGTCCTAGCTCCACAAGGTATTTTCACCTTGTAGTCATTATAACAGAAACTTAAAAAGGTCATTCTATTATTTTGCCAAGCCTGCTACTTGGGGGTAACGGGGAACATGGGAAGAGCAGTGAGTGTTGGCGCACCTCAGGCTCTATGGTGCTCTCACCTGCCCACTCCCATGGAAACCAGCTACCAGGTTATAAGCTATTCTGTGGAGGTGTCGTATGACAGGGAACTGGAGTCTGTGGCTTAGTGCCAGTGAGGACCTACAGGCTGCCAGTAGCCACGTGAGTGACCTTGCAAGAGGAGTCTCCTGAGTTGAGCATGCCATGACTGCATCCCTGGCCAACACCGTGATTGCAGCCTGTTGAGAGACACTGAGCCAGGGTCACCCAGCTAAGCTGTATCCTGATTCTGATCCTCAAAGACTGTGAGATGATAAATGTGTATTGGTTTAGCTGCCAGGTTTGCAAAGGTTTGTTCCACAGCAGTAGGTAATTAACACTACAGGGTTCAGCTCCTGCTTTGGTGGTCATTGTAACCTAAGAAGATACAACCTTAACCCTTCTTTTCAAATGTAGGCTCTGTGACTCATTTATTAGATTAGGGTTTCAGTGCAACTCTTTCCAAATAGTCATAAAAAAATTCAGTGAAAAAATTTATTTCTACCCTTGCTTTATTACTGCCACACTAGAGTTTCCTGTGCAGTTTATCAGAAGAAAGGATAAGGATTTTCTACTTTATCTTTTCACTGGATCTTGTACTGAGTCATGTTAACTATTTAGCTCTTCCCTGACCAAATGTTTTCTTAGGACAGAATTTGCTTCTCTGGAACTTCTTTTTCCTGTTGTGCTTTTTTCTAATACATCTGACCTAAATGAGAAAGTGATTCTATATGCACTCCCAGCACATACCCATTTGATCTTCATTTATTTATTACACATTTACTACGTTCCATACACATTCTTAGTGCGGAGGATATAAGAATGAATAGTTGCTCATTGTGAGTGTCTTTTCCCTCCAGAAATTAAAAAATATTCCTTCCTGACCCTTCTGTTAGAGGGTAAGGTTTTCTTTTTGAAGTTGCTATCAACATTCAGTTACATCAAATGAGAAGAGTTTAACACTGCACTCACACCACTATCCGCATCTACTCATGAAAACGGAACTTTTTCAACTAAAATAAAAGCTTTCCCTTAACCCTTAAAAGCAGTTGAGCAAGGGGTATTTCGTAAATGCAAAAAGGAAAGAACGAAAGCCAGAGACAATAGACTCAGCAAGCTATGATGAAAAACAGATAGGTGAGTTTCGTGCATGTGTTGTGTGGTGATAATGAGAACACAGAGGGTATATACAAACATACCCGGAAGGAGCCACACGCCTGATGATAAGCAGATTGGATGAGGAAAGGAAGAAGGCATCAGTAAACTCCAACGTAAGTAACAGGGACAGTGAAAATAACGCTACCAGGGGTAAGAGAGTTGGAGGTAAAATCAATAGAGGGGCACGAGATGGTGAAATTGTTTTATGACCTATTTGATT